TCGCCGGCGATCCATGCCTGGTGCTCGGCCGCGCCTCGGCGCTGGGCTTGCGCCCATGGGCGGACGCCTCGAGCCCAAGCTCGGAACGACAAGCAGTAGCTGGACCTTCTGTGACTCCGAAAGCCTGCCACCGTAGGCGTAAGCCATGAATGACATCTCTTGCACATAAATGTGCGCTTGGCGGCATTCCGTCTGCCACGAGCCCGCTTGCTCGCCGGCTCCTCCTCCGAGACTTTGTCTGCCTGCGTCGGCTTGGAGGCAAGCAGACGCCGGCGGAGCTCCTGCTCACGGGCGGTCCTTGACGGAGCCGCTGTCGGAGACGCAGGTCTGCGAGACCCAGAGACCTCCCGCCGTGGCGGGCTCCTGTCCCTCCTTGAGCTGCGGCGGCGGCGCCGCCTGCTGCGGCTCCTCCCTCTGCTGCGGGACTTCTTCTTCTTTTTTTTCTTTTCCTTCTCCTTTTTCTTTGGCTTCTCGGTCTCCTGCCTTTCAGGCATCTCCGGCCTTTCAGGCTTCTCCGGCCTTTCAGGCCTCTCCACCTGCAGCGACCTCTCGCAGGGCCCTCCAGGCCTCGGAGGCTTCTCAGGGGAGCAGTCGCTCACCTCCTCCGGGGGCGACCGCAGCCGCTTGTCCGGGACCGAGCGCTCCGCCACCGGCTGTGGCTCCTCCTCCTCGCTCTCTTCCTCGCTCTCTTCCTCGAAGACTTCGGCAGCTGCCTTCGCACCACTGGGCGCTTCCGCCGCCCTTCGCCTGTCCTCCTCCTCATCGTCGCCCATGGCACCTGCGAGCAAGGAGAGGAGAGGCTATATTATATATATATATATATATATATATTATATTATATTATATTATATTATATTATATTATATTACTTTATATAGGTGGTATATATATATATATTATATTTTTTCTTTTTCTATATATATACTCACAAAGCAACGGCCGTGGCCAGGCTGCCCGCAGCGGCGGCCGTAGCCAGCCCACTGCATGTCGCAGCCTGCAGCGGCGGCCGTAGCCAGCTCGCCGCATGGATGTCGCTGCAGCAGCGGCGGCCGTAGCCAGCTCGCTGCACGTCGGAGCTTGCAGCGGCGGCCGTAGCCAGCTCGCTGCACGTCGGAGCTTGCAGCGGCGGCCGTAGCCAGCTCGCTGCGGCAGACTGCAATGCCGGCCGTAGCCAGGCATACTGCGACGAGCTTCTGCAGCAGCCGTATAGCCTGCTCGCAGAGCTGCATGCAAGCGGCCGAAGCCTGCTTCCTGTGTATATATATATATATTATATAAGTATATATATATATATATATCTTTAGGGTTTAGGGTTCTGGGGATTTTAGGGTTTAAGCGGGACGGGCCTTCGCGGTGCCCTGCAGGGCTGGCCCCGCCCCTACCGGCAGAGCCACACGGCTGCGGATGCGGCAGTTCCTGCTTTCGGTTTAGGGTTCTGGGTTCAAGGTTTAGGCTTCAGGGTGCAGGGTTCTTATATATATACATATATATATATATATAGGGTTATATATAGGGTTCAGGGTGCAGGGTTTAGGGGTTTAGGGTTTCGAGGATACCGCAGCGATCTCTGGCAGCCTCGCTTCGTTTCTCTCTCCCTCTGAGCTCGGTTTGCTATCTGCCTGCACTACAAAACCAGACGGCATGATGCTCTGCATCGGATGATGGAAGCCGGATGCCTCAGCATAAGGAATGCTGTTTGATGTACGTTGCGAAGCAAGACAACGTGCAACCTCTCTTGTGTCTGCATTTGGAGCAACCGTTCGGTCGCATGCGGACGCGGTCCTGCCACGTGAGACCCGGCACCTCTTTGATGCTCCGTCCACTGCTCGTCGCAGAAGCAGGTCGCTTCAAGGCAGCAGCAGGCTTACCTTTGCTGTGTGCTTTGGCCTTCGCCTTGACTTTAGTCTTGGCCTTTGCTTTGGCCTTGGCCTTTGCAAAGGCCTTGGCCTTTGCAAAGGCCTTGGCCTTTCCTTTAGGCTCGCTGCCTGGCCCCAAGCTCTCGGAAGCAAGGCTGTCTTGCTGGGGAACTTTGGCCTCTGCCACAGCGTCGGCGGCTGCCGGCCTTTTCTGCGGCTTCCTGTTTCCCTGTCCCAAAGCCGACCTGAGGTTGTCCAGCTGTTCTGGCAGCTGCGAAGCTGCCAGAGGAGCCTGTGTTTCCTCAAGCCGGGGTGCCTCCTCGGCAGTTTCGGGCGGAGCATCGCACAAGGCCAGCATCGGCCGCGACGGCATCCTTACCAAGGGTCCAGCAGCAGACCCCGCCGCAGCGGTGGCTCCGACAGACGCAGCACCAGCCTGTGGACCATGCGTAGCAACAAAAGTCGCCATCAGCGCCGTTGCTGTGGTGGCCATTGCCTGCATTGGATCCACCGGCACCTGCGGTGGGGCTGCTTTGTCCAGCACCTTGTCTCCAGACTTTCGCACGGAAATCTGCGATGCCGTAAAGAGCAAGAGCTCCTTAGAGATCTTACCTTCGCAGGGCGTCTCGGAACCGTACACTTCAGCATAGAACTGCGAGGGCAGCTCTAGCGGAGTCTTGGGCAGCTGCAACAAGAAAACCGAAGGTTCAGGTAGGCCCTCCAGCTGCTTGCGGATTGCGGGCTTCAGCTTCGTGATTTCCGAGTAAGCTTGCGAGGCGTCCGGCACTTCTAGACCGAGGACCAGATGCATGAAGCAGTACATCGTCCCAAAAGTCCACTCCGAGGGATACCTCAAACCCAACTGAGCCAGCATGCTCACCAGCATGCTGCAGCCGGAGGACACAGAGCCGGAAGCCTGCAGCGACGTCCACTGCGAAGGCTTCAAGAAACCCAAGAAGTTCTGAAAGTCTTGCGACTTCGGGCCACGCTTGCCCGGGTCGTCCTTCGCTTCCTCTGTCTGCAGACACTGCGACACTGCCACCCGCAGTGCATCGATCTGCTCAGGGGTCCAGCAGTTCTCGTCCATCATCTGAAAAATGCTGTTAGCATCTTTCAACTTCAGCACTGAGGTTTTCTTCAGCACCGACAGCAAAGCCACCTGCTGTTTGTCTCGCAAGGCATCGAAGTTTGGAAGCTTCGACACCTGCTTCAGGAAGCTCTGCGCAGCTTCGAGCTGCTTGCACACGGCCGCCATGCCGCCAACCCTACTTTGAGCCGAAAAGCAACGACTTTCAGTGTCTCCATAACAAAAGTATGGCTTATGAAGAAAAAACCTATCTCATCCTAAGTTTCCCTAAGTTTTTCTATGAAACGACTAAAATAACTTATAACTCACCTGTAACTCACTTATAATAACTTACGATTCATGAAATTTATAACAACTTATAACATACTTAGCAGCAATTATGAGTGACTTAAACAAACTTCAACCTAACTTATAATCACTTATAATGTCCTTCTAAGTTACGGGGCGACGTAGGTAGGAATCATCCAAATCGTCAATCTCAGCTTCATATGCCACTGCCGTATAGGCGTTGAGTTGCAATGCTAGATCCTCATCATCAATCCATTCATCCGCATCATCTCCCCCAGACGCTGTGGCCTGGTATGCTTCCTCGCCGTAGCCGTCACCGTAGCCTTCCGCGGATTCCTGTTGTTCCTGGTGACCATACTCTGCGGCACTACCATCATACCCCATATAGCCAAACTTAGGGTATTGTGGCTTAGCGTCGAAACGTCTCCAGGTCTTACCTGGGCCACTAGGGTCCTTCTGGGTAAGAAGACGTTCCTTCATGTGCACCACTGAGTGATGCTGAACAAGGACGCGTGCGTACTCATCCACGGTGTGTACGCGGGCGGCGGTCTTGACCATTAGCTGTTCGTTCCTTTCCAACCCTGAAAGCTCAACAAGGAGATTAGCCCTCATTGCTTCAGAAAGGCGGATATCAGGATCTAGCTCACGCAAGGTCGACCACCACCGCTTTCGGCGGGCTATGTAAGACAACATAGGCTCGCCGGGTTGCTTTGCAAGTGGGCCCGTTAGGAGCTGTCCCTGACGGAAAAGTTCGGACGCCTCTTCAGATTGAAGAGGGAAGGCTTGCCTCCTGATTTCTTCTATCAGGTAGTCGACGCCATCATGGCGAAGCAGACGTTCCAGGCCGACGTCGCGAGCGATGCAAAAGGCGTCTCCTCGGAGACCCTCCAAGATCTTGCTAACGCATTCGCTCATATCAAGCGACTCGTCCTTAATGTCTTGCAAGGTGTACACCGCCGGATCTGTGTCCGGCTCTTGCTCATCGTCGCCCGCCACTTGGCTGGGGTGCGACGGCAATGACTCCGCATCCTCATCTTCTGCCTCGGACGCGGGCTTAGTCCGTTTTGCGCTGGACGGACTGGCGGGTATACCGCTGCTTCCATCACCATCTGTGGGCGATGCACTGGTCCCCTGACTTGCCCTGCCACGCCACTTCCTTGGTGACTCGCTCTTGGCCCTTGCCGACTCGGCAAAACGCAGGTCCTTAAGAGCTTCGCGCCGCTGCTTCTCCTTATGTTGCAGCACGCGGATCTGTGTCCGGAAGCACCAATCGTGGAAGCCAGCAGCCGTACCGTCGTATATGTACGACCCGCTTTTGGTTTCTGCAGGGCTCAGGTTCTGTGACCAGAGATTGGGCTGGTAACGCAAACCTGCCACGCTCATGGCTTCAGATAGAAGGGGCCTTTGCGCCGCGACTATCACTACTCTACCCAACGGACCCCGGACCACAGGCTCTACGGGGGTGAAACACTAGTGGTTGTCCTCACAGCTCCGCTACCAGTTTGAAGCAGGAACTGGATTAGTGAGTGTCCAACCACACAAACGAGCGCACTTTTTGGTCTGAGCCCAAGACGTCTGTCGAACAGGGTGCGTTCAGAACTAGCACGAAAACTACGCTCGCATGAGGACATGTCAACACGGCACTTCAAGACAGGGAAATTTCACAACCCTAAACCCCTAAAATAAAGCACGAAAGCCCCCAAAACCAGAAAACCCAAACCCCCAAAGCCCCACCCGAAATTTCACAGAGGACTGCAGCGGCGAGGAGCAGCAGGCCGCCGTCAGGAGCTCCGCCAGCAGGAGCCGGTAGAAGTGGAGCTCCAGGAGGTTCGGCGGAATGGCCTGAACAGGCTTAACTATGGGGAGTTTTAGGGATTTCAGGGTTTAGGGATTTTAGGAATGGCCTGAAAAGGCTTAGCATGAGGGAGTGATTTGCGGGATTTCAGGGTTTAGGGTTTGTAAAAGGGTTTCGGGATTTTAGGTATCTGGTTCCAGGACTTAGGTGTCAGTTTCGGGTATTGGGCCTGGCTCCAATTACCGGGGCCCAAGTGCCAGCCGACATGCCAGACATGTACAAGGCAGCCCCCCTGCCGGATTCCTGAGCCGCCGAGCCTTGTCGCTGAACCCTCCGTCGGCAAGGCAAAGTGTGACACCCCCGGCGTCGTGAAGCGATCGTGCGAGGTGAAGTAGGTTTTCGGGCTTCCTCGGATGGGATGTGTAGGCTTACGGGTTCATCACAAGACGTACATGTTGCACCTTGAACCCACGAGATTACGTCGCTAAATTAGAGCTCAACTGTATCCCCTTTCCGACGCTAACTGGCACGAGATCCGGAATCAAAACATCCGGAACGGCAGACATGAAGCGTGACAACCTTCATAACGATTACACAAAATCAGAGAACGCCTATGCCATCTAGGATCTTGGGCAGAAGACAAAGACTCTGGTCTAGGTTGACTAATTAGTTGGCCTTTTGGCTACAGGCTAAGCTGAGAAACTCTGCCACCAAGAAGCAGCAAATCACCTGTGCCATCAGCACCCCAAAGTGGCTGCCACTGGGGGTGGCGGAGCCTTAGGTGCATGCTGGTGAGACAGTCGCAAATGACTCCGAACTTGTCGGAGTTTGCAATGCTCTTCAACTGTGGGGCTTCGCGATCGTTGAGATTCGCAAACACTACAAGCCACAAGCACATCTGAAGCTGCATTTCCAGGGGCAAATCTGGGTACCAGTCGTCCTGAGAGGCGGGGGGAACCACACGATTCTCCCGACCCCAGGCATGCCCCATAGTTCTAGACTCGACAACTTAACGCAGATTGCTGATTGCTTGTCAATAAGCTCCCTTCCCTTAGTAAGGATTACAACAAGACTGATTTGGCACAGCTGTCGGAACGTCGGATCGAGAGGTCGTGAGCCCTGAACCGCGGATCACCATGCGAAGCAATCCGGAAGCTGCATAATCGAAGAGAACATACTCGAGCATGGGCTTGTATATCGACTTCGGTGTTTTTCCCTTCCTACTTAGCAAGGACGAAGGCCTCAGTGCAGGGAAGTTCAGAGATTGGGGTTCTCCGGAAGGGATGCAGTTGCAGATTTCAGGGTTCAAATGTGCTTTTGTTGGAGGCGGGTAGGCTTGCTAGCTAGGTCGATGAGTCACGTTCCAGTTGAGGCCCTGAATACCGATGCCCGAGGCCATTTAAACCAGACGTACGATCTGGAAACCCCATTGACTCTACCACACCCGGAACTAATAAAGACTAGTCAGCCATAATCCTATATCATATATATCCCATATATGCACACTAAACCCCATGCCATTAAACTACACCCCTTGAGCCTAAACGGCCTAAAGACCTAAACCCCGAAACCCTGAACCCTCTAAATCCCTGGACCCAAACACCCGGCCTTGGTCTCCGCCTGCCAATCCTCCTCCGCACCTGCGCCGCTGCGCAGCGTAAAGCCGAAACCGCCTGGGGCTTTGGGGCTTTGTGAAACTGGGGCAATCGTTTTGGGGGCCTAGTGACTCCTACTACTACTACTACTACTACTACTACCACTACTACCACCACTACCACTACTACCACTACCACCACTACCACCACTACCACCACCACTACTACTACTACTACTGCTACTGCTACTGCTACTGCTACTGCTACTACTACTACTACTACTACTACTACTACTACTACTACTACTACTACTACTACTACTACTACTACTACTACTACTACTACTACTACTACTACTAGTCATAATAACGGTGATAGTGTTGTAGTGGAGGGAGTAATCGCGACGAGCATAGGTCCTAACAATCACATCAACAACAACATTGACAACAATAATAATTACCGCCATACGCTGGCTCTGACCAAGGGATCTCACACCCCCAGATGGACGGGTCCGAAGAGAACTTTACGATGACACGGAACGCTGAACTCCCAAGCCGTGTTGCTCATCCCTACAGACCCAAACCCTAAACCCCATTTAAAGGTCTGCTTCAAACGCAAGAGGCGGTGGCGCTGCCCAAGAAGATACCTTGCTGGGTGTTCTTGTTGAAAGGCTTCGGATTTCTCAAGCGCAGCTGCCCTTGTGTCTCAAGGAGGCGTGTCAGACCATCGGTTAGGTTAGGTGGGAGGGCTCATGGGCTGCTAACCTCAAATCTCAAGCCCTAAAGCCTCAGGAACAGCAACGCGTCAGTCAAGAGAGCTAGGTCAAGTAGCAAAGGACCCTGCGACATAAACGCTCTGAGCAAAGACCCGCAAACACTCAAACTGGCCATGGGCCCAAACTTTCCATGGAAAGCCTCTTAGATTCCTCATCTAAATGCCAAACGAAGGGCCGGAAGCAACTGCAAAGCTTCAGAACCATGGAACTCAACCAAACCCTGGAGCATTCTCTAGAACCCTAAACCCCAAAAAGTTATAAACCTCCCTCTTCCCCCGAGCCCTAAACCTTCAAGCCCAAAACCCTTACTCTAAACCCTAAAACTTCCAAAAGTCTTCAGGGGATCCGAGGTGCTGGGACCAAGCACCAGGTCCACCGCAAAGGTCCAAGAAAGTTGAGCCTGGCCTGAGCGGCATGTTCCAAGGGTTTGTAGGGCTTACGTAGATCATGGCTTAGGGTTCATGGCGTTGGATATGTTTTGAGGCGGTAATGCCTGAGTTGGGGTTTCGAGCACCGTGTTTAGGGATGGTATATCTTTTGGTCGGGTGCAAAGTCAAACCCCCCTAGGGCCCGCCAAGTACTTGTAGGGATCTCATAGTCCTGAATTGTGGGTCCCTTTCCTCCCAAACCCAATGTTTCTAGCCGCCCTAAATACCTTATAAGCTGCTAAACCTCTAAACTCCAAAGAGTCCCTGAACTCTTGACATTAACACACGGAGACCGGAGCTTCTGCCCCCAAAGTCCCTATATCATCCGGTGTTTTTTAGCCAGTCTAGCGACCTGAATGTTGGGAATTGAATAGGGCTTCAGGGTATAGCTTTTTGTAAGTAGAAGGAGGAACCCTGAACAACATCCCGACCCTGACTTTGCTGCTTTGAGCCTCCCCTCCCCCCCCACACACACAGTCCAAGGCACGCGATGCCATCCAAGAGACCCACAGCCTCAAGCAAGGGCTTTAGGGTTCTTTTCAAGGGGTGTACAAGGGTTTGGAGCTTTAGGTTCTAGGCCTGGAGTCTACGACTTCAAGGGTTCAGGGTTTAAGGGGCTAGAGGGTGAAAGGGTTTTCGGCGACCTAGGGCTTTTTTAGGATGTGCCGGGTCCTGCAAACGCTGAGGCCTTAGGGAGGAGCCCCTAAGCAACCCAATAAAGTCATGTCGGTCCTCGAGTTGGGCATTGAGGCTACCATAAAAGTGTCTAGGTAGGAAGTCTGAAACTCTGCCAAAAACGAAACCCTAATGGAGAGAACGCCCTAACTCAAAAATCTAGTTTGGGCCCTGCTAGAGAAACCGTGGCGACCCCTACACTGGGTTCAACTAGGTAGTCAGGACCTTTTTTTTTCCTTGTGTTGCGGGTCGCACGCATGAACCCACAGTCCTATCCCAAAGGCCCAAGGGTCCATGTACCTAGACGGCTACGTTGATCCTCATGCACCAAGACAGGAGCCCCTTTCAAGGCCAACGTGCGCTCTATGATAGCACATGAGCCTTGTACAACTATTTTACCTTAGTAAAGCCAGACAAGACCCTAAAGAACTGTGAGAGAACTTGTACAATAGCCTCTGAATCCCCAGTATATAATTCCTATAGGCACAAAGGAACTCCGTAGAAAAGCTTCTTGTGAGAGCATCCCTTGAAAGGCTCCTTTAAGGCTTTAAGGAGCCTCCTTCAAAGGCACATCCAAAAGTCCTCGCCTTGACAAGCTCTGCGAGCTTCTCTCCCGCACGGTTTTCGTGCTCCTTGCCTGGCAGGGATGCTTTTCTCTCTCATTCGTGGGGGTCCTGGAGGGCTTCTGGGATTCCCTGTATTGAGGCCTCTGTCTGGGGTTTAGTTTAAGGCTTTTTGTTAAGGGGTTCTCTTAAGGCTTCCCCGAGAACGAGATAGGTCAACCAAGCAAAGAAAACTGCAATGGAGGCTAGCTCCAAACACAAGAGATTGAATCCTACAGACTCAAATGAGAGTCTGCTGCCGAAACCCTCAAAAGTGTACAGCCCTAAACCCTCCCTGAAGTTACCTGACACCTCAAGGCAGTAAGGGCACTCAAGCTTAGCAAGTCCTATAGTAGTATCCTGCACAGAGGAAGGCGCACGTAAACGTCTCAAGGCCTAAGCCCTCAAGACACCAAAGAAATCAAACATCCTTGGCTGAGGAATACATATACGCACGTACTTGAACACAATCTGATTGTATATAATATGAGTTGAACAGCCCTGTGGATCCACAACTTTCTGCGGAACAGCCATCGCGAACCGCAACGGTCTACCGACCTTACTAACTATAATTACAACCCTTTGATAACAGCAAGGCTTATACGTCACCTCCCTCGGTGCAACACCATACTAGCGCCGTAAAAACCTTATGCAAACATGCATAAAGCCCAAAATCCTAAGCCGTTGTTGAACCCAAACTGATATCCTGCTGGAACCGAAACCCTGAATCGTCCAAGACCGGGCTTGTCGGCCTTCCTTCCCGGAGTGCGGGAAGAGCTGATCTCGAGCCACCCGTTGCCTGGGCTGAGGCGCCGGTCGGCTCTTCGTTTCCCTCACATCTTGGGATTTAGTGGTTATGAGGGTTTTTCCCCTTAGCATGGATAGAGCGGCGAAGGATGTACGAGGGTTTAGGATTTAGGGCTTGGGTGCAGCGTTGAGGGCTTACGCCCTCTTTAGTTGGCTGTACATAATACGCAAGAGCCGGCAAGCCGTAGGGTTCTTGGGGTTTCAGAGGTTGTCGGGGTGTTCTAAGTGGGCTTATAGGGCGGTGTAAGAGTGATTTAATTGCATGCTTCTTGAGTTTGGGTTCGCGAGTTTGCGAGATTCCAAAGCGGCTGTAGAGTTTATGGTTTCCAGAATACCGGAACAGAGGTGTAGAAGTGCTCAAACCCGCTGGCCTAAACTTTGAACCCTTTACCCAAACTGCTGAGCTGAAACCCACTAAGCTGGTACTGAAGTTGGCAATAAGAAGGAATGGTTGCATGTTTCGGAAGCTTGGTGAAACATAACTCGCCGGGAGCCCGTCTTCAGGAGAGAGTCGTCTAATATGTATTGGGTTCCGTGTTCACTCCTTGGGGTTCAAAGCGAGCCACATCACAGATCTCGCCAGCGGCGGCGGTGGCTTGCTCCACAGGTTGTCGAGACCCGCCTGGCGATGCTTGCTTGATCCTAAACTTTCAACCCTACGGGGTGACTTACGAAGCAGAGTTGTTTGTAAGCAAACCAGGAGCCCAGAATCTGTACCCACGAAAAGAGATATACATAGACTAGATTACGGTCTAGGGTTGGGGGTTAAGGGTTTCGGCGCTCACACTCGGACAATCCAGGTTAAGGGTTTAGGGTAACAGAAGACTCTGTGTTCGATTTCGTGCCTTGGTCTCCCAGAGCCACTTCACGAGATCTGGTCGCCCATGCGGTCCAGATTGAAGCAGAGAGGACGAGGCTTCGATCTCCTGTTCGACCGTCTTAGAATTTTTGGCGTTCCTTTAAAGGGACTCTCTTCAAGGAGTCTATCAGCATCCAGGGTCTACGCACTAAAGCCGCTAGGGATCACACGTTTTAGGGCGATTGTATGGGGATTGGGGTGTTGAGGGTTTTTAGGGTCAGGCTTTTTGGGCTTCAGGGTCAGTGAGACTCCAGGGTTATATGGGGAGCAGTAGGATTCCTGACCAGAAAGCCTCGAACAATCGGAGCAGGTACACGACTCCTCGATAGTTTCCATGTGGCAGCTTCGTGGCTCTGTAGACATTGAACCAAGGTTTCGGGGCCTATGATGAAGGACTTACAGTAAGCACCCCAAGGAATAGTTTGGTAGTCTTTTAGTTAGACCCCTTCTATTACATGATTCTTTTCGGCGGACCCAGGAAGATTGGCGTTGTGTCTGGTGATACCTACAAAGGGATGACGACAACAAACGGCCCTGAGCAACCCACTGTGGTTGCGCAAGGCTATGAAAGTTCGGTAGTTATGAAATGTTTGACAACGCAGCGGGAGATGACTACATCGGGATGCGAGTTCGAGAGACTTGCCGGTTTGACCCAGCCCGCCTTGACCTCACAGAAGGTTGGCTGCAGCGATGAAGAGAGCGGGAATATCTGCAGCGTCTCCTTCGGTGTTAGTTAGATTTGTTCACGGCAAACTTTCATGGTTTACAGCTTGGGCTTAAGCTTGGTTTAGCAGACTTCGGATTCGGGCTTCGTGGTTCATGCTGAAGAGCTAGCCTCTCAGAATTAGAGCTCGCAGCCTGGTAGGCTTTGGCTTAGTTTTCTGAGGCTGCTTTCTGCCTCTGGGGCTTCCACAGTCCTTGATTGAAAAGGCTGGAGGGCTGGGTACCGACGGACAGAATCCACGATACAAACCTCTCAAATGCTGCACCTAAAGAGCCCAGACTTCACACCCGCAGCCCACAAGCCCGAATCTCGAAGCCCAAGACCCCCTCAACTAGCAACCCTCGTCTCTAGGTTCGTGAACCCTTGCCCCCGCAAAACAAGCACCTCAACCCTAAACCATTGCAAATCCAGTCGTCCTGATAGTATGCATGGTACTAGTAACATATTCTAGAACTCTGAGTGCATTCAGTACTCTTGTGCCACCCTTACAGATCCCTTAGCACCCTTATAGAACCTTGCTCCCTCTAGCGCCCTCACGGAACCCGATCGTGTCTAGAACAGAGACGAGGGCCTCAAAGGGGGCTTTCGGTTCCAAGGCCGCCGGCGATGCCACGAAAGCGAGGCCGTTGAAGTAACGCTCCAGGCCCTCCTGCAAGGGTTTTGTGACGGACGAGGACTTACAGGCTTTAGCAGTCTAGGGTTGGGGATTTAGATTTAGTGTTGAGGATTTGGAACTGAGGGTTTAGGGGTTTTATGTAGATGCTCAGAGGCCAAGGGCTAAGAGTTTCCAGCCCCTCCTGCAAGGGCTGGGCTGCTCAGGCTCTACGGGGGTTCTTACGTAAAGCATGCCATAAAGGCTTCAGGAGTTGTTTGGGATTTAATGAGATTTTTAAGGGTCTCAGGTTTAGAGACGGTTATCATTTTAGGCTTTCGCGGTTTTCGACTCGGTACACTTCTTTAGGGGTTCTGGATTTCGGGCTTGCACTGTGGAGACCAGCATCCTGAGTCATTCGGCGTTTGGAGAAATGATTGAATGACCGAGCATCTAAGCTAGCTGCTCTTTGAGCGCTTCCGAAGATACCCTCGTCTTGTACGTTAAACTGCCCCGGTTGAACATGGACACCAACAAAGTGGTGTCTGGCTCCCGCAGCTTGGTGGACCAGGTTTAGGGGTTAGTCGCACCCAAACTGTAGGTTTCAGAAAACAAGGACACGATTCAAGACAATAACTAGCCCGTAAAAAGAGACCAGGTGGAGAGCCCCTCATGAGATCCGCGGGAAAAAACAACGCAAGACTAAACACAATTAATTCCTGAACCCTCCGGCCTCACTGACGGTCGCCCGGCGCTCCACTCGGTGGCCCCAAGCCACGAAAACACCAAGCTCCTGTCCGATGTATTCACTTACCTTTGGTTAGTAGGGAATGGAGGAATGGGGTACAAGTATAACTACTATTGCTGCCATTCTTCCATTCCCTTCCAACCTAAGGTAAGTTCAAGGTTAGCCGTCGTCAGCAAGCTTTTTTCGAGGCCTCACCTTGCTGTATGATGTTGTTTGAGCCATGGGTTGCGATGCGGGGTTCGGCATGTTGGGACTTTCCGGTGTTTCGCTGCTTTTGACTGCATTCTTCTTCTTATCTTTCAGCTGATGCTGAGCGAAAAGGTCTTGAGGGCTGGTCGCAGCCCTAAGCTAGCGCTACTACAGCTGCACAAAGCGGGATCAAGACACCATAAAGCCCGCACCATTATTGCAGGACGATGCATTTCCATAACACCGGAACTGCCTTGACTCTTGATCCGAACGAGCTCGAGCCCGCAAGCGCAAGACCCTGAGACCCCAAGGCCCCTGGTAGGATGGTTGCACAGTGAGTTTGTTAGGTGGCTCTATAGTCAACCGGGATGAGGCCTTGATGCAAGACCTCCTAAGTCGGATACAACACACACACACACACACACACACTTTTGTCAACTCTACTCTTTTTTGAAACCGCTAGAAACTCGTAAAACCCCGAACTAAGCCCGACAGACCCTCACAAGCCACGGCGAGCCCGACTCCCACGTGCACCTCCTCGCCTTGCCTGGGAGCGGTGGTTTAGAGCTCTCCGGTTTAGGATTTTGGGAGGCGAGAGAGCTCATGAATTTCTCTTGGGGTTCTCAGGGCCCATGGGTGCAGGACCTCACCACTTGAGGCTGTGAGGCAATTTACCAAAAGAGGGGTTGAATGAAACCGTGTAGCATACGGGCCTGAACAAGAATCCCTATGTATACGACTACACTAGGTCACTAGGATATACGGATTCCAATGCCCAAGACCCTACTCTAGTCAATTTGATTGCTGCATACCGTGTCGTGCGACCTGTTACACAAAAAATGTGTATCCTTGATTTGGGTGATACGCTGCCCAAAGAACCCCGTACCCCGGCTTCTGCTCGGAGAACCTATAGCTTTTTGAGGGACATAAGATGAAACAAACAAGAAATCGAGAGAGAGAGAGAGAGAGTAATGCGTGTATATTACATATCTGTACATATGTATATGCCCATAAGCAGAAAGCGTGTACGTGCCAATGTTATGCTTTCAGCCAACATACGTAAATAAAACACATGTTAGCCTACCAGGTTCCTGCATCACCTCACCGAGCCGCTCATCGCGCTTCGACCGTCGGCTGTGCCGGCGGACCTGCTCAAGGGGAGAAGGTGTGCCCAAAAACGACTGAGGATTTGTTCGGGTTCAGGGATGAGGTTTAGGGTGTGGGTGTTACTTCTCTTTGTGAGGCCGGGACTTCCTGTTTGATGTTGGGGAAGGTTCCTTGCTCAAAGGGCTGTGCAGTCTCCGGGTGGTCTGGACATGTCTGGACCAGCACTATCCCTCCAAAGCCTTCTTCCAATCAAACCCTAAACCGCCTTTTAAGGGCTTTAAGTCTCCTCAAAACCCCTGTACCATAGCCATGCTCAAAAAGGCTGTCGAAGCGAAAGCCGCCTCGACGCAAACGCCATCGATCACCGCAACGGCCATCCGGCATGCGAGGTCCTGACCGATTCTGTCATCTTTCACGCCATGGTGCTTTTGTTTGAAGATATACTACTGAAACTGGTACTATTGCCATTGCTGTGGGGATAAAGCGTGTGTGCGTGTGTGTGTGTGTGTATGCATTTTCACATATGTGTTAGCTTCGTCTATGCCACTCTACACTCTATGCATTTATCCCTGCACAATATGGTGATGCCATTGAGCTGTGCAGTGCAAGCACAAGGCTTCATTGCAGATTCGGGGTAGGGCAGAGCGGTCAAACCACGATCCCAAAACCTGAACTCCGAAACTCGAGCCATCAACCTAGAAGTGTCATACTCCAGATACCCTATTAGCCCTACACACCTGCACCCTCCAACCCCAAAACACCTTCAAGCTGGACACCCATATAGTGCCAGTGTAACGAGACATAAGCCTTTGAGCGAAACTAGAAGTCGCACAATCTACATATTCAAGTTCTCTCCCTCCCATTTCATTTGCCATCGTTGACACGAACACTGAGTAGACAAACAAAAACCTTTACCTCTTCCTTCTTTGGCTTGCTTTGTCTCTTAGAGTCTTAGAATAGCTGTACAGATCTGTGCAAAACCTCCAATGTGCCCGCCACGGTGCAACGACCGCAGGGTCGCAGAGCGTCACCACGGCGCAGCCTCGGAGAGTAGATGCAGAAAGGATACTTCAGGGATGCTATATAGGGATTATGATAAGGTTTACACGGTATAGTGAAGGGCGCGTTATATTGCAAGAGCCCATTGCAACTCCAGAAACAGATGCTTGGAAAGGGGAATGCGGGGTCTTAGTGATTCGAACAAGGCTTTTGGTGTGCGCTGTGCCGTAAACATGACGAGCACTACAGTTAAAAGAGGATCATGTTACTAGGTATTTGGCAGTAATTACCACCTCTGTCTTGAAGGGGCAATCTGTTGCGATGCCGACTGTAGTAGTCTGTGAATCAGGGGTCCACGCTAGTCTGCTGTCTATGGCTTGGTAACGTTCAGAGCTTACTGTAGGATTCAAGGTCAAGGGCTTAGACAGCGAAGCAGTAGGAGGTTTCAACAGCTACCTAAACCCTGAACGCTAAAATGAGCACAGCGCTGGGGTACGTTTATTTACCTTCAAAAAGTGACTCTAAGGGAATAGTCTTAAAACGGAAATTATTCCGACCCCTATATTAAGCGCTTCTTAAACCTCCCGAGGATGCCTTTGCTGGCCATCTTCCTCACTCGCAGCACCGCGGGCTCTGCCTTCGCTGCTGCCCGCTGCCTCTGCAAGGGGACTGAGCACCAACAGGGACTGGACCCTGCCTGTCCTTCCAGCAACCTACTGTTTTCGGGGCTATACCGATGTATGCCCTGTTCAGTCCAAGGGCAAAAGGAGGGACCCTTAATAAGGACCCCTAGGTATATACCCTTAATATAGCTATTATATACCCATTATATAGCCCATTATAGGGCATGGGTCCCCATTAAGGGTCCTTCCTTTTCCCCCTTGATACACCCTAAACCCTAAACCCTTTATAGAATCCTTATAGATCCCTTTAAGGAACCCTATATAAGGGTCCCATTAAGGGTCCTTCCTTTTCCCCTTTGATTCAGGGATTGCAATACAACCTAATTCGTATGTTGTAGTGTTTCGGGCTTCAGGGAAATAGCCCTGGGCCCTTACCGGTCAGTAGAAGATGCATCCCGAAACACAACCTGAATCCCTAGCATCGCTCAACCAACACAAAAGTCGGGATGAACAAATGGCGCCCCTGCCACGGTCTAAATTGAGATCATATAGTGTTGTATTACCCTGCCCTTTTCAGCTTGAATCCATTTGAGCTCTCGCCGTTTCGACCCGGGGCCCTGGGAACCTGAGCTAAGCCATAAACGCACCTGAGCGCGGTGGGGATCTGGGTCAGCTCAGCCGGAAAAGCCTCCTCGGTGAGGTGCCATAACCTAGCCCTAAATGTGTAATACAGGGGCCTTAGCAGTCAGAATAAGGCTTTGGGGTGCATCAGGGCTTAGTCAAATTATGGTGACTTCAGGGTCTACTACGACCCATCCAACATAGACGCAACAACTCTGACTTTGCATCCTATTTGACTACAGCCCAAGTTCCCCTGTGACTCGCCTGCGACAGTAGAGTTCCGAATCCTGACGGGAGCGACAACAACTAAAGTAAGGACTTGTCCAGACGATAATCTCGGACTGCTGCTGCACACCGTAAGACTCCCCTGCGGGAAAACGTGAAAACAAACGCCTTGCTAAGCACGGTAACGACCCACCTAAACGGTTTTGGCAGACGCTCTATTAAATCATGACGGGGAACTATACTGGAATACCGTCGACCTAATAATTGTTCCGACCGTATACACGCTTGAGCAAAAACCGCGAATTTCAATCCGAATCGCCTCTTTGGCTTCAGCTCCCGCTTCGGGTGCCGCCGGTGCGTTTGCCTTCCTTGGCAAGTCGGAAAGCTTACAATTTATTAGGGCTCCAACTCGCACACTCCGAGGTCTACGGTTTGGGGTCGCAGCATTGAGGGTTCCTGGAGTTGCGGACTCTCCAACACTGAAGCGAGCACAAGCCCAAAGCCTGACAGGAATCCTCTGGCCCCCTGCCACCCTAGCATGGCCCAAGGGGCGGCTCGGGCGTCGCTGGCGGAGTCCGGCGACGAGCCGGGGAGGGGATGAACATGAGAGGGGAGCGCTGCATCTGAGCCCTGGGCTGGTCAGGCTCGGGTTTGCAGGAATTTGGGTTAGGGTGAAGGTTAGCATGTTGCTGTTCAGGCTGTTCGGTTCAATCGTTTGCGAGCGCACACCGAGGACCTATATAGCTAGGCTAACATACCTTGCTTCATGGGGAAAATCAGCCTGGAACCATCAGGGAAATCCCTCCTTGATGCGACTGTGCAAGAACATGTTGTTGCCATGTTGCTTCATGAAGGTTTAGTGGGCTCTTCGGGTCTAGGCACCGTTCGGGTCTAGGCACCGTGAA